AGGTCAAAAAAATTATCATAAGATCTTTTCATAAATTAACATTAAAATAGATATTCAGAAATATTCATCAACAAAACATGAAATATCATTATGTATCTTTTTACATATTATTCAACATGTATTTATTGAACATCAACTGTATGGAGGTACTATTCTAACTGAGTAAGAAAACACAAAAACTATCAAGTGCCAGACTTGTCATAAATATTTCACATGTATCATATCCTTTCCCCATAGTAACAGTAATGAGCAGATGCTAACATGGTCTCCATTTCATATGGGAAAACTGAGCCACACAGAATGAAGCAACTGGTGTGAAATGACACAATGGCGGGTGTCGGTGACAGCATCCAGACTGGTGAATCTGATCCCAGAGTCTGCAGTCTTAACCAACATGCTGAGCACAATGCTCACAGGTAAGCAAGGTAAAAAAGGTTTATGTTCTCATGAAGCTCCCATGTTAGTAGTGGAATACAGAAAATAGGCAAATAAATAAAGGAAATAATCAGACAACTATAAGCTTTGAAGGAAATAAAATATAAGCAACAGCAGGGGATGCATGTTGGGAGAGGCTAAGACAGGCAGCATCCAACCCGAATGACACGAAAGAGCCAGCCCCGTGTAAATCTTTGGAAAGAGTGTTCCAAGCAGACAAAACATCTATGCAAAGGCCCTGAGTAAAAGCAGGGTTGATGTGCCTGAAACAAAGGGATGAGAGTACGGAAGAAATGACTTGAGAAAAGTAGGCTCTCACAGACAATGGGAAAAAAAATTTAGCTTATATCCTCAGTATGATGGAAAGCCACTGGAGGGATTTAGGAAGAAGTCAGCACCATGATATTATTTGTTTTTAAAATACAGCTTTATGGAGCGCTCACAGATGATAAGGGAAGCATGAGAGGAAACAGAGAGACCAGGAGGCTGCTGCAGTGGATAAGGGAAAGATAGGCAAGCGGTTTAGGCATATTGGCTAAGGTGGGGAAAGAAAAGGTGGATAGAAGCAGACCAGATCCTATATGGTCCAGAGATAGACCCAACAGGACTTTCTAGTGGATTGGTATAGTGGGCGAAGGCAGAGCAGAAGCAAGGATGATAACTAAGTTTTTGGCTTGAGTGACTTCAGATGGTGGTAATACTCACTGAAATAAGTCTGACTGGAGAATGAGATAGCCTGAGGCTGGGGAACAAGCTAGATTTTAGATGACCATTTACATCTAAGGTGAGATGTTGAATACACAGTTGGATAAGTGAAATGAAGTATGTGAGAGGGGCCACACTGGAGATGGGAATTTGACAGCCACCAGCAAAGAGATGGACACTAAGGCCTCTGGATTGGGTGAAGTCACAAGGGGGAGTGTGTAGGTAGAGTAGCCAGGAGCCCAAAGGCAAACCCCAGGCACTATAACATATAAGGGACTGACAGGCAGGAGCAAGCCTGGGAAGGAGCAGCCCCCATCAAGCCACAGGAAACCGAGAGTTTCCTCACAATAAATAAAAGATAAGCAATAATCCTAGAGATCCAGGAGAGAGGGTTCATCTGGATCAAACTCTCTCTCAAGGTTCAGTGAAGGAGAACAGGATCTTACTATAGACCAACAACAAGCTCTTGCAAATCCTATATAAATTTAAATCACTCATTTTTACAGAAAAGCCTGAACCCCCCCCACAAAGAACACTAAAATGAAGAATTTTACAAAGTTAAACATCTTTTATGAATGAAGAGTGCATCTCTTAAATAATTGAATGAGTAAACCAAGAGTTTTATATATCAGCTTGCTTAAAACAGGATCTAAATTGTAATACACCAAATTGTACGTGAGATCACCTTACGGTTTGGATTCAATTGCAGATGCCATCAGAAGTAAATTCTAACATTTGGGTCATACTGTATTATCTTCACCTTCTAGAGTTCACATAAACATTACCACCATCACAGTTGCTAACATTGATTAAATGTTTACTTTATATTAATTAAACCTCACCAGAATCTTATGAATTAAATGCTTTTATTATATCCATTTTTTTTAAGATGAGGAACTGACCCCCACGGAGGTTGAAGTAACTTTTCCAGTGTCAGCTAGAATCCTATCTTGGTAATAACTAGAGACCAATTCTCACTCTGGTGACACAGTAAATGCCTCCGGATTCTGCCCTTAAAACCTCATGGTAAAGTTTATTCCCTCTCTTCTCTCTGCTATCCATTTACCTAATATATCCATCCTGCCAATAAGAGACAAGAAAAACAAGGTAAAGTCATAAGAAAAGAATGAAGGAGAAATAGAAAAGAGATAATCATAGCTGAAAACTTAGCTTAAAAGAGTGAGTACAAATTTTAAGAAACTAAACAAAGGAGCATAGGGAAAAAGAGAGAGAGAGGCAAACCAAGAAACAGATTAACTATGGAGAACAAACTGATGGTTACCAGAAGGGAGGTGGGTGAGGGGATGGGTTAAATAGGCGATGGGGATTAAGGAGAGCACTTGTTACGATGAGCACTGGGTGTTGTATCGAAGTGTTGAATCATTAAACTGTACACCTGAAACTAATATTACATTGTATGTTAACTAACTGGAATTTAAATAAAAACTTAAAAAGAAAGAGTTAGTATGAATCACTTTTGAGTTTCCTAGCAGCACAGGCAAAAAGGAATTCACAATGCGTTACAAAATCTCCATTATCTAAAAAAGGAACACCCCAGTTAGGCAAGAGACATTTCTTGTCTCAATCCTTAAATCCAACAGTATTTCTTGTATGTGTTTATTTTAGGGAAACCAAGCCGTATAATGATCAGACAGCAATTCCTCCAATGGTAAAGAAATATTCATCTGGTTGCACTTAGGATTTTCCATTTAAAATGTGGTCAACAGCTCAGTGTTCCCTGGTATGAGACTATTATACAGTTCACAGTCATCTCAGCTTTTTTAAACAACTGTAAGAGTTGGCTAATGACTTAAAAACCATGACATGAACTTTTACAACTGTCACATAAGCTCAACAGAAATAAGACCTATTGTATACTCTGTACAAATGGCCTATATCACATCTCTCTTAGAAGCAGAATATCTACATGAAATAAAATCTTGGCAAAAATTTCAACACACTGCTTGCCCCGCAGCTCCAATTTATGTCCCTTCACGAGCAAATTGCCATGGGTTTTAACTAATGAAAAACCAGTTTGTTTTTAGAAAACATCCTCATTATCAGCTAATATAACAGAAATGACCAGGAAGAGCATGATTTAATATGGATTAAATGTGAATACAACTTAGAAGCTTTCTTCTTGTTGAATTAGATAATCAAAACTATTAAACAGTATTTCAAAATGCTTTTCATAATCCTGGGACCATTAATGTCATGTTCAAATCACTGTGGATTTTTGTTGTTGTTGTTGCTTTTACTATTCATAGGGATACAATGAGTCACTGGCACATTTCCAGTGCAAGATGCATTTGAATAATACATGACATGCCCTTTAGCTAGCATCATGATGCCAGATTTAAAACAAGGTAAGAAGTTTCCTCCATGTACACTTGCAGTGTTCAGCTGTTCATAATCTATAGCGTTAACAATTTATCATCAAACCCAGCGACTTGCTGCCAACTTATCAAAGTGGCCACTGGATGCATATGATCAAGTCTGAGCATCTGGCTCTCCTCTGTTCCTGACATTAGCACAGACAACAGAATCAGTGGACTATTGAATGCAATTACAGTAAGCGAGACAGACAATAAAGATTGATAGCGCCTTCTCTTTTTATCACACACAAAACTAGTGGGGGTTAAAGCTTTGCCTTGAGCTGCCTTCATTTAACAATGATTGAAAATATGCAATTGTGTTGGTAAAACACTGTAGCCTGTACCACTTCATTTACTGGACACATTATCAAATTAAATGAAAAGTGAACTGCCAAAAGCAACAGTTATTATATATTAATGATGAATATTTACTTAGCATTGTTCACAAATCATACAGAGAACAGAATCCTTCTTGTTATCTTCTTCGCAGGTTACAGCTGAGTAGGTTTAACATTTCTATGTTTACGTTAAGTCTTCTGTCTACAAACCTCTAAATACAGACTTGCACAATTGGTTTTGTGTCTATCCATGTGATTACAATGTGTAATTAATAAAATGCTCTAGTTGTAGATGAATCCTAATTATTGAAGAGCTTTCCCCCCCTTTATAACAGTTCCCATTCCTGTAGCTTTTTTTGTAGCAAGAGACACTTAGCCAGGGGTAGATACTGTAACCAAAAGGTTAGGAACTCGAGCATCACTAAGATTCCAAAATATGAAATGTGAAGAAGACCCTCAAGATACGGACAAACCACAAATATATATTTTGTATTTTTCTCCAAAGATTTTTATTTTAGTAGCCATGGGGGATATAACAGTTCACCCATAATCTGACCTCCAAAATAAGAAACACACAAGGGGCAGAAAGCAAAATGGGTCAGTATAGAACTATTGAGCAGACAAGGGAAAATGGATCCTGTCTCACAGTTCATACGGAAGGAAATTGCATTCTAAGCGAATACCAGTAAATCTGAGAATACAAAAATAAGTGTCTCATTGTTAAGTGGACAAACATTTGGTGTGCATACTGGTGTGTCAGAAAGACTTGACGGCAGGCAGACATGATTGTTCAAAGTTATGTAGATTAATTCAAGGTTCTTTTAAAAACACACACATCTGGCTCTTCCTTTCCAACAACAGATATAGAAAAAGAAGGAGCTCATATATGAAGTGTAATCATGTCTCTTTCTAAGACTGGAATAGCCTGAAAAACTCTGCAACATATCCCAAACAAAAAGAAAAGAAGAGGTAAAAGAAGAGGTGGAAAACCAGTCATGGGCTTTCTAAAACCACCCCACTGCTTATTCTGTAAACAATTAAATACATACTCAGAAGTGTTGACTTTGGAATTAGAGCATCGACCATATGCAGTTAATATAAATAGCAGCATGAGGTATAGGATATTCACCAAGTGTGAAAAACTCACCAAATAGCATCACCACAGTGGATTGAGAATCTGGAAGCCAAAAAGGAATGCTGAATCAGTATTCATGAATGTAAAGGAAACAATTAAGTTCTCTAGAATTTACCTTCAAGCAAAATTTAAGTGAAATCACTCTTTCTAGGCATATTCAGATTCTAAGGTTCTCGTAGCCTTTAAATCCTTTGGAGATGTGAAGCCTTTGGCAGTTACTGTGAAACCCAAAGAACTGCTAGACTTATCTCAGGAGCTTCATAAAATGCTAACCCCTGGATCCCAATCTTTGGGATTTTCTTTTCAATACATTTTGGGTGGAGCAATAGTACTCACTATAGAATATCTGGCCAATAATATATGGAAAGCAGAAAGAAAACCTATCTCCTCTAAAGACCCTGTCTATGGTCTTTTTATCCATGCATATATTTTTATCTATTAATATAAAAGTCAATCATATTTTCTAAAAGCAATAATATTTTCAATCACTTGGGGTGGGCACTTCATAAAAATTTAAATTAAAAAGAAATACATATGTTGATGACTAAAAATCAACACACTCCATACAATACAAATGAGAACATGAAAGAATGCTCTTGCTATGCCCTCAACAGCTACCCCTCACAGAGTTAATTACTATTAAATACAGATGTGTATTTACAGTCTCTTTAGGTATTTACTTGTAATTTATTTGTGTATGCATTTTTCATAATTAAGATTGGACTACACATACTGTTCTGTAAATTAACTTTTTCACTTCATGTTATTCTGATTTATATCTAGATCTATCTAAAATTACCTATTTTTCAGGGTGCCTGGGTGGCACAGTCAGTTGAGCATCAGCTCAGGTCGTGATTTCAGGGTCATGGGATCAAGCCCTGCACTGAGCTCTGTGCTCAGCACGGAGCCTGCTGGAGATTCTCTCTCCCCCTACTTCTGCCCTTCCTGCTTGCACTCTCTCTATCTCTAAAATAAATAAAATCTTTAGAAATAAATAAAGTTATCTATTTTTCTTATTATTTTTAATGGCTATATAGTATTCCATAGTATAAATAATCATAAATATTTTAGCCTTTACCTTGCTTTCATTATTGTCCTAACATATTGGTTTTAAACATGCAAAAAAAATGTTTCTATGGACATCCTTATACTCTATCTTCATTTGTATGTGGTTTTTTGTAGTATAGAAATGGAATTTTTGCATAAAAGATATGTGAATTAAAAATTTTAATATATAGATTGAAAAATTGCCCTTCCAAAGAGCTATATCATTTTCTCTTACCTACAAAAAGTACAAAAAGGCCCATTTCTTCACAACTCATTGATGTTAAATATTTTTCATAATTAAAAATTTTGCCAATTTAACATATTAAAAATAGTATCTCAGGGCACCTGGGTGGCTCAGTTGGTTGAGCGTCTATCTTCGGCTCAGGTCATGATCCCAGAATCCTGGGATCAAGCCCCGAGTCGGGATCCCTGCTCAGTGGGGACAGTCTGCTTCTCCTTCTCCCTCTGCTGCTCCCCCTGCTTATGCTCTCTCTCTCTCTCTCTCTCTCTCTCTCTGTCAAATAAATAAATATTTTAAAAATAAAAGTATCTCATTTTTAATTTTTATTTTCAGCTTCATTTCGTGTGTTTATTCGTCATTTTCATTTCTTCCAAGAACTAACTTCCTGTTTATATCCTATACCCATTTTTGTATTGTGTGATTGATCTTTTTCTTGCTACTTTCTAAAAGCTTTTAACTTTGTATGTAATTTAAATCAGAGATTTTGTCTGTTCCTTAGAATGGTCTTTCCCAATTGACAATTACAAAAATCATCTCTTGTGCTATATTTTCATACTTTTAGTTATGTACAGTATTAAGATGTTTTTTAAAAAAACTCCAGGTGATTCTTATCACCATTCAGATACAGCAGCTTACTGCATTGATTGCAATGAAGCCTAAATAAATAGCGCAAATCTGTGGGTTTGAATCTTGGCAATCCTTTTTAAAAACTTCATTATTGACCTGTTAACTTGAGATAATATACCTATCTCGTAGGATTATGGAGATTAAATACGATAAAAAATATAAAGAGCCTAGCATGGTGTCTCCCATAGAGAAAATGCTCAATAAACATCAGCTATTAGTATCCTTAGCATTATTATTTTAACATAGCTCCAACTCCTTGTTTTTGTATTCAATTCAAAGTGCCTTTCTACTTCCCAAGCTTCTCTCAAGACTAAGGGCTGTATCTTGAAGTAGATTTTCACATGGGACAATCCCCTTTATGAAGCCAAGGGCTCCTTAAGGAAATGCAACTTTAAAACAATAGACAACAATAGATATTTCCTTAGTTACCGGACTATTTCTAAAGTAGTAGTTGAGCCCTGAGGGCCTTAAGAATAAAGTGCTGGCTGACGCAAGTTGATTACAGTACGGCATATTGAGTACTGCTGGCAACACTTGACCTAATCCTAAAATCGTGTTTGGCACTTAACTACACATTTTACAAAGACTTGTGGGTAACCTCTGTCTGGCAGCCCAGACCTGAATATCCTGTGGCCTCTGCTGTGTCTGGGACTCCCAGACTCAGGCTGAGCCTCCGTCCAGTGGACAAGGAGAGGGCCTGGTGGCTTGTCTCACTAAGAGATCAGAGGACACACACTTGGTATGTGCCACTCATGCTTCACAGACTGAGCTTCTCCAGAGGAAAACAAGCCAGGCTCCTGGGGACACTCAGGCTGCCAGAAGACCCCAGGCCCTCTATTCCAATGTCCTTCTGACTCATTACTTTTTGACCAAGGATCTTTGGATCTTTGGAGGACAGGAGTTAACATTAAAGCCTACTTGTGTTTATCTACACTTTGTGAATCCAACTCTCTATCAAAGTCCACTTAAACTAACAGAAAAAGAACTTGCACCTAGCTCCACCTCTAACAATCTATAATCAGAGGAAATTCAAGAAGGGTATTATATTTTGTCCAGCACCAGTGAACAGTGTAGCTTTCTGTAAGTGTCTGTGGTTATTGTTATTATTAGGTAAATAATATTTATTAAGCACTCTCTTAGTCTGCTAGGGCTGCTATAACAACGTATCATAGACTGGGTGGCTTGATCAACAGGAATTTATTTCTCATACTTCTGGAGGCTGGGAAGTCCAAGATCAAGGTGTGGGAAGAATCAGTGTCTGGTGAGGGCCCACTTTCCAGCTTGTAGATAGCTGCCTTTTGGCTGTGTCATATCGTTTTTCCTTGGTGATGCTCCTAAAGAGATAAAAATCTTTTTTTCTCTTCTTGTAAGGGCACTAAGCCTAGCATAAGAGTCCCACTCTCATGATCTAATCTAAACCTAATTACTTCCCAAATGTCCTGCCTCTGAATACCATCACACTGGGGTTAGGGCTTTACCATATGAATTTGAGAAGCACATAAACATTCAGACCATAATTAGCATTTACTGTGAGCTTTGCACCATGCCACGCACTTTACACATATCATTTCAATTAATCCTCCCAGCAATTCTCTGAAACAGTTCTACTTATTATCCACAATATACAGAGGCAGAATCAATCAAGGGAATAGTGTGGCTGAGCAACCTGTTCAAAGTCAGAGTTAGTATGTGTGGAGCTGTCTCGAAAACCTGCTTTCTTAGCCCCCGTGATAAAACTGTCTGCCCTGCTGCATGCTATTCTAGGAGAAGAAAGAGATGACCTTCTCTTTTTAAAAAAAATTCAGGCAAGATTTGTTTGTTTTCTTAAATAAGCTTTTTTCTCTTTCCCCGACCCTCACTTCTTAAAACAACAAACACAACCACCTACATTAATTGTAATAAAGTACCTTCAATCAGTTCTAAATAAACATACAGAAGAGAATGAAGGTGGGGGGATGAATCTCTAAGTAAGTTAGCTGAGATGAATGGAAAAATATCATTCTACCAAATATTTTGGAAGTCCAGTTTTTAGAGGCTGAATTGTGTGCTCGCAAGTTCCTATGTTAAAGCCCTAACCCTCTCAGAATGTAATCATATTTGGAGATAATGTCTTTAAAGAAATGATTAAGTTAAAACCAGGGCTTCAGGGTTAGCCCTAATCCAATATGACTGGTGCCCTTATAGGAAGAGGAAATTTGGCCACCAAGAGACACCAGACACATGCACATGCAGAGGGACAACTGTGTGAGGACACAGGGAGAAGACAGACGTTTTGCAAGCCAAGGAGAGAGGCCTCAGAAGAAACCAACCCTGCTGACTAACCTGAATCTCAGACTTTCAGCCTCTAAAATTGTGAGAAAATAAGTCTCTGTTACTTACGCCATCCAGTCTGGCACTTTGTTATAGCAGTCGTAGAAAAATAATACACCAGTATTTTTGTCGAAGAAACGGGGTGGCGGTGGGAGGAGGGGAGCCAGAATGCAGGAGTCACCAGGAATTTTGCCCTAACTCGTGGTTTCTATACAGGCTACTAGTAATTTGCAAGAATTTTTTTTAAGGGAATGAACTGGGAGTCTAAAGGGTACAAAGATAATCTTAGCCCTGAGGAAAATAACTATTTGCTCTTGAAAATACCTCCAATCAGGATTTTTAAAATTCCCTGTTCATAGATAGTCAGGTACCTTCTCCCTCTTTGTCTCTCCCTCTTCCTCTTAACATTTCATTCACCACCCTGCTGTGATTGGCCTGTGTCCTCCACAGGACAGGCATGCTGATTACGTATGAACACATCAACTATAGAGAAATGAGTGCAATCGAAACATGGCTTGAGGTACTAACATCCAGTTCGGATTACATATTGGTTGAGTAGGACAAGTAGCAAGAAATCAACTAATTTCTGCTATGTGTGGTTTACCCACTCACATTACCTCATCACAGCCATGTCTCCTCTTTGCCATCAGTCAATGGGCTGGGAGCAAAATCAAACACTGACCTGAGCTGAAATGTACTCCCGATCACAGCCACGCTCCCCCAGGAGCTGTGGGGTAACTGGCTTTATGCCAGGAGAAGTAAGCTTTCCCTCATTTCTGCTCACTAATAACCTTTCCTCTCTTTTGTTTGGATCTTAATGACCTAAGCCCTTCACAAGAGGTTCACCTCTTTTTTTTGGGGGGGGACATAAACCCAAAATGGCAGATAACCCAAAGAAATAAATATAATTTAGATGTAAAATAAAATCTATCTACTAGTGTGTGTATACATGAATGTGTATCTCACTGGCATGCACCAGATTGGACTAAATGGCAGGAATTTCCCAAGGGAAGATAATCTCCAGATACTGCTACAAAGGCTTTATTCCCCACACTCTGCAAATTATTTAATTTAAACACTGCTTGATATGACTCTCTGAGGAGAAGGGTGTTTTCCCAGATCCATTTTTAATTTGTTGGTGTGTATATATGCATGTGTGCATATAGAATTGACCAGACAAATGCATTCACTCCTTCAGAGAGTCTAAGCACAAGCTTCTGACTGCACAATCAGGGGCTTCCCCAAGTTGCCCTCTAAAAGTAGGAAAATGATGAAATATACGTGTAACATCTTTTTTTTTTTTTTGTAAGAAAAAATAGGCAGAGGTTCAGCTGTTTATAGGCTAGGGTCCCCACCCTGGACGTTTTCCATTTTCTTGGGAGACATTACTAAATATTTTTTTAAATCGTGTGTGTGTGTGTGTGTGTGTGTGTGCGCGCGTGCGCGTGTGTGTACCTGCACCACGATTAATTTCTCACAATAGAAAATGGTCACATTCATTGATGAATTTTACTAAAGCAGGAGAAGCAATGCAAATATTAAAGAATCAGTTCTCATCAGCATTGGGTAGTGCTGTATCATGAGCTAGAGAGATAATTTATAGCATTCTTTTAATCTTTCTGCTCCTTCCACTAAGTTTACCTTCTACTGCTTTTCTACTACATATTAATAAGGGAAGGATACCCAGTGAAACAAAACCCTGAGTGTCCTATTATGTATTTTGCCAAACTTCATCATGAAAAATCTTGCTTTTTTAAAAGAGTTTATAGGTCCCATTAAAGGATTCAAATTAATTTCTCCTCTAGACAGAATTTCTTTACATAAGGTTCCACAGAAGGGCTAACCCTGCCACGAATGCAAACTTGGGCACATAGGGTCCACACTGGAGAGTCTTGTTATCTTGGCTAAATCAATTTAAAAGCAAATAAGCATTAGGTAATAATTTCAATATTAACTTACGCTTCTTACTACTTCATCACAGCAAGCTAAAGTATGTGAACTCCCTTTCACCCTTCACCTAGGCTTCCTCTATTCTCTCCCTATGTGGTACCCTCCACACACAAGTAAAGTGACCTCCTTCCTCCTACCAGCCTAGTTATTTATTGACATAAGCTTGCATTCTGGGGCATTATCAGCTTAATGCATAATTCAAAATCTCTCAGTTGTGGCCTGCACCTTTGCCTTATCCCCTGCATTCTGAATGAAAGATAAGGAGAAGTATTTCCAAAGTGGACCCACAAAAGCACTCCCAAACATTAACATCGCCTCCTTCCCCTCCCTTGCATGTCAGCCCTTCCCCACCCCTCAGAAAACTGTGCACCTTGCAACTCACACGCAACACACCCACAAACGTATCTTAGAAGAAAACAATCCCAGAGATGGTCTTAAAGCTTAGGCTGAGTGGGGACCCAAGAACCTTTGGGATGAAAGGGTCTTTAAAGTGGAAAAACCAGTTATTACCTCAACAGTCACATTCTAGACTGGCAGCCAGATGTTTTCAGCAAAGCAATAGTTTCAGATCTCTGTAATTCAAAAAAAGAAACACCAGCTTTAGAATTTTTTTTTCCAGTGGGGCAGTGGAAGCTGTGTGTGTGGTGGAGTGGGAAAGAGGAGGGTGAATGGGAAGAGGCGGCAGATGGAAAAGGCTTCTTAACATGTTGGAGGGAAGGAGGAAAGGACCCAGAAGGGAGGGAGAGAGGGGGGCAGGGCAAAAGGGAAAGAGAGAGGATGAAGGGTTAGGGTACAGAATGACTGGGGAACAGGAAAGGCAGAGAGACAAAAGTTTGAGAGGGCTTCAAGATCAACTGTCTTAGGTAAATGCAGACAGAATCAATTCAGTAAAAGTGGCTCAAGTGATTTTTTTCCCATAGTGAATTGACTGCTTCTGATTGAATTGATTAAATTAACTAGTTATTTTTTTTTAATGGTGTGTGAAGAGAGAAAATGAGTGCATAAGCCCACCTGCAAATACACAGAACCAGTAGCCTGTATGCTCGATTTGAACACATTAAAGACTTCACAAGCATAAAAAGTACACACACACACACACACACACTCTCTCATATGTTTGTTTGCATATGCGTGTGTGTGCAACTGTTGAATTTTGTCAAAACTGCTGCTGTCCCCCAGAATATTTGTAAGCATATACAATATACATACATACATATTCTGAGCTGTGTTCTTTCTATGGTCCAAAAATTATTTGTCTTTTTGGAAAGCAGCTCATCCTTGACAGAGTAAGTCTGCTGTATAATGCATCCAGTACAATTTGTCAGCACCATTTTTAAAAGTAAGGTTCACCTCCCCTAATGTACTTTTGTCAAAGTCAGAATATATGATACTAAAAATCGTAAGGTCGCCAATATCATTGGACTTATTACTAAATATGGGCTTCTAGTAGATGGCTTTTTACATGCATTTTGAGTCCACCAAGCAATGATTCGTCCTTTTTTTAAACATAAAGACATGAATTATTAAAAAATTAAAGACATTTAGAATAATGGTCCTCTATACGCAAAGTATTTATTTCAACTTTCATCATTCATAGTTTATTGCATTGATTTTTTTTCATCAGTTTACTTAGTATTAGGCTTCCACTGAACTCATCAATAAGAAATGAATTTTGGTAACTTTCAAACCCACTATATTACTTTTCCTTTTATTTGTAGTGAATTTTTCTTCTCTCCATGGTATTACTGCAATAAGTCAGTCATTATTTCTTTATGTTTTTCCTTCTTTCTTTAGTATTTCATTTCCCTTTAGCACATCTTGTGATCACAAAGAAAACAGAGACAGTTATTTCTTTTAACAGTTGAAATTGCTGCAAGTGATTTAGCTGTCATTTAACTTGATTCCTCTCTTCTGTCTGTGGAGAAATATGTTTAATGTACTGGAAATTATGTTAATAAGAAAAAGCATTATCTCATTTAATGAAACAAATATACAAATATTTCAAAATAAAATAAAGAGGCAATCTTCACTGAGAAAAATGTCTCTTACGGTTTGCATAAAATAAACAAATGAGAAAAAAATCATGACTACATTGAAACACTGACAAAAATTATGCCTACATTCAAAAGGGGACAGGAGGCTTGGTAACTGAATTACCCTCAGTTTAATCAAATATTTTTTTGAAAAATATGGGCACATATTAAGGACCAAATTATTAATTTTATATTTCCAATTACTTAAAGAAAGATCATTTTATTTTTCTAGAATGGACACTGGGTTTTTGAAAAGTTTTCTTTGTATTTTTTCTCTTCTATTTCAGTTGGTCTTTCAATGATTGCTATTGCTTGAATTAATAATTATCAGCAATCTTATTGAAAATATGACCCAACCCATGTAACTATAAGAAAGGTTAGAATTCCTTTGATTTTGCTAATCAAAACAGAGTCAATGAACTTGTTCCAAAGCTTTTATATATTAAAATTTATCTAATGCACAAAAAGGTTAAATAAATATTGTTAGTGATTTGAGCAAAACTTGAAGCAATTATGTAATAAAAGCATGACCACAGTAACAGAAACACATAATTAGCAATTTAATTACTGGCATGAAGACAAGCTAAAGATGTCAATAAAAAAAATCTTTAGTGACAAGCCGATTTTATTCTCTTTACTGCAATTTGTAAGAAATATTCACCACCTGATAAGCAAAACCATTTCTATACAAAATACCTACCCCTCCACACAGTAAAATACCCAATTTAAAATATTTCTGATTTCATATCATTGGCATAGTGAATCATTCCATTTTCTCCCATTTAGATTAGCACTTTCTTTTCTCTGAAAATACAATATTTCCAGTCAGCAAGTAAAGAACATTATGTTTTTTTAAATGAGTTAAAGTAGCAGGTGTTCTTTGTTTCAATTTCATTTTTTTTCCAGCTTCAATAATGTGCTTGACAGAAATGCTTCCATGTATATGACATTCCAAATATCCCATCTTTTCTCATCTTCTAAGTTTCAGCTGAGAAGCACACATAAACCATGGATTGTTTTAAAAAGAGATAAATTACAACTATAGTAGAAGTAGTCAGGCTAATTGGATATTCCTCTAGGTCTGTCACAATTTCTTTTTCCTCCCTCGTATTTGTATTTAGAGTTTTAAGGTGAGAGGTAAAGGAATGATAGGGTCCACCTTTATTTTTTCATCATGATCCCAACTTTCTGATTTTAAAACAGTCCTAAACTACTTATTTTAAAGTGTTCAATGAATGCTTACTACCTTATATGTCACTGGTATTTAACTAGTAGCAGAAAACAGATATCTCAAGATAGAACCATCCTGAAAGAAGTTCGATCTTATGATAAAAAGTGAATCATCTTGGCTGGTGTTCAATAGCCACTTGCACAAGCCGAATGCATGGAGTGAAATCCTGAAAGCCAGACTTGCTAAGAAATTTGGTTTATAAATACCCTTGGGGCATGATGGAATACACTTAAAAAATAAACTCCGGCCACTAAGAATATAACAAATAATATTTCTTCATAACACTGCCTTTTATAATTAACCTACTGACTCTAATCATTTTGACACATAGTTCTAATCAGATATCCTAATTAAATATTCAATTCTTGACAGAAGAGCATATAATACTCAAGGTTTCTAAGGAAATTGAAAATGTTTTAAAAGGTATTTTACTTAGCTATAACTTAATAAATGCAGCAAAGGCAAGTAACTGGGAGATGACTTTTTGAAACCTCTTGGCTAATGTACTGGTTACTACAACCATTCATTTCTTACATATATTTGGACTCAAGGTCCCTTATTTCCATAAAAATTTCCCTTTCCAGTGAGTTTTTGATCACTGTACATTATATTATATATCACCATCAGCTTCTAAGTTTCTGCTTTAGCCATAAACCTAAACTTACCTGGAATTTTTTTAAAATGTCATCATCTAGGTTTGAAACTCTCTTTCCTTCTACAGGTACAAGTTGTCATTAATAAATATGTTAATATACAAATGTCCATGGAAGACCGCCAATATTAGCCATTTTGCAAGATAGTTAAGCAGTGGCACCTGCCTTTGTGAAGCTTACATTCTAGTTAAGAAGATGGTGTGCCCAAAGGTAATGCTGCCTCATAATTCAAGTGCAGTTATGATAAATACCAAATAGCTGATAAAATAAATACAAGAAGGTTCACAGAATAAAGGGAGCACATTGTCTTTGTGGGCAGACCCCCTTTATAAGTGAGTACCAGGGACAGAAGTTTATAAAGCTTTAAAACACATATCTCATTTGAGCTAAAAGCTAAACAGCCCCTCACAGAGGTGAAGAAACTGACACTCAAAGAGGTTAATAATTTACCCAAGCAAACATGTATTCAAATGGGAACTCAATTATAGTCCTGTTTGACTCTAAGTTCAGGGCATGAAGAAGAACACATTTGAGATGGAGGAATGATCAAAGAAGTACATCAGGTAGAAAGCAATGGAAGGGATTTGTGAAACATGTGCGGGACAAAGGTGGTTTGCTTGCCTAGGGAGAGCAACAGGAACAGTGAGGGAAAGATTGGAAATAAAAAAGTTGGAAGCAACGGAAAATTGGAAATGTGTTCTCTGGGCAGTGAGGAGTCTTTGGTAGTTTCTGAACAGAATGATGGCATGATGAATGCTGAATGAAGCATGAACTGAAAAGATGAGAGAAAAGACAAAAAGTGAATGCTGTTGATTCTCCACTCAGACTCCTTTACCAGAGGGCAGCCATCCCCCAGCTGCTGGGAGTATTGGCTACTAAAGCCCTTGGCTGTCTGCTTTTCTAGAGAATTGTCCCCAGCCTTGAGGATCCACTTCACTGGAGAGGTTAAAAGACCCTCTACTATCAACCCATACAAGGACTGCCTGAAATGGGAGATACAAAAGCCAACTCCTTCCTCTTAAGGGGCATCAACTTCGCAGGGCAAGCTGAAACTAGACTCTAGCTTATACCACATGCATCCTTGTCTCAGACTCTGCCTGTAAGGAACCTGGCCAGAGAGGAGGCAGTGAGAGCCTGAACTATCTTCCTCTCTCTTGGGAGAAGAATGACTCATGATGTTAACAGGAGAGTGACAGCAGCTTTATCCGTCTTATCCAGAAAATAATCGGTGCACAGGAAGAGCAACCAGGGCAAACATGAAGGCCACCTAGATGTGTTTTTGCTTTTCCGGGCTCCTAGGCTTATATTGTTCAAAGAATGAAATTTGGATGGCGTTGCTGGGGAAAAGTTTATAACTCAACCACTCTAGTCTGCACAGGAGATACAATGAAGCCTCCACTTTGAGTGGAAATGGGGGAAAAAGAAAGGGGGAATATTATTTCATGATAGTAACCCACTAGAAACTTTGGCTTTCCCTGTCCAAATCTCAACTGAGTGTCGCACAGCTTAGTAAATCATTAACTTCCATTTCTCACAAAATGGAAAACACTGGGCTGCCTGCAAAAAATACATTCTAAATTTAAATCTCTCCAAACTGTGGAATGAAAAAAGAAAAAGTAGCATTTTATATTACTAAGAAACTAAAAAAA